CACTCACCTCCCCTGGCAGAGGACGCGCCTCCCGCCTGGCGCTCAGCAGACAGGAGTCGCAAACTGGGGTCTTATTCCCAGGACCGTCCAGGACCAGGGCCTCCGCGGCCCAACCTTCTCCCTTCCCCCCGCCCCGGGCAGGAAGACCAAATAACCGAGCATTCCAGCCGGGCCACGGCCCAGGCGGCCTTACCTTTTGCTTCGTTATCCGAGGTGTCGGGGCTGGAGTCGGCGGCTTTGGCCCGCTCCTTTTCGCTCTCCAAGGGGCTGCCTTTGGAGCCCGCCAGGCTCTGCTCGGTCTTGATCTCATTGGGGCTGGGGGTCTGGCTGTCAGACTTGGGGGTCTCAGGGAAACTCACTTTGCCCCCGAGCTGGGGCGACTCCAGATGTTCGGCGCGCGGGTTGAGACTGGCCCGCTGCTCGAAAGGGGCTTCGAAGTCGTTGGTCCCGGCACAGTGGGGCGGCTTGTCCAGCGCGGAGTAGCTCGGGCTGGCGCGGTAATAGCTGGGCACGGGCACCTCGTGCTCCCCGAGGCAGGACTCTTGCAGGGGGTGGGAGTAGAGAGCTGCCTCGGGGCCACTTTTAGCCCGCTTCTCTGCGCTGTACATGCAGCAGACATTCTCCTCCTTGACACTAGGTGGGTAGGAGCAGGAGGACAGCGGCCTGCCAACAGGTTGTTCCAGGCGGTAGGCGGCTTTGGGGTCGCCCCAGGAGTCCAGCTGCGAGAGGTAGGACGGGTAGGTGTTGAGGGCGAGGTTGGGGCTGCTGCCCTCGTCCCTCTTGGAGAGCGAGGGCGTGAGCCCGCATCCCCTCATCACCCCGCAGTTGAAGTCACTCCCCGATTGCATATACATGCCTGCGCTCCGGCTAAAGCGCTCTCCTCCGCCGGGCGCCGCCACGGGCTCCGCGTACGAGTTGGGAGTTACATTGCGAGGGCATGTCATTTTCAGAGAGAGGGGTTTTTAAGGAGCAATACTACGGCGGAGGAGCTGACATCTTTTTTTCCCCCCATCCGGGAGGGGGGGCGGTTCGAGGGGGCGGGAGGGAAAAGAAGGGAGGGGGGAATATCAGCTCCATAATTATCCGCACATTCGGTCCTCACCATGTGACAGCTAGACCAATGGGATTTGAAAATGGCCTTGATGATTCAGACGGCCGCATCCGGGAGGGGCGGTTCGAGGGGGCGGGAGGGAAAAGAAGGGAGGGGGGAATATCAGCTCCATAATTATCCGCACATTCGGTCCTCACCATGTGACAGCTAGACCAATGGGATTTGAAAATGGCCTTGATGATTCAGACGGCCGTGACGTCAGCGGGGTCAAGTTGTCGGCAGGCGGAGCGCGGAGCGTGGAGTAACAGCGCCACCTAGCAACCACCTCGGGGTAGGGGCGCCCAAGCACTTCACCGCGAACAAAGGAAGCGCCCGGGGGCGACAGGGGCAGGAGGAAGGTGGAGGGAGATTGGGCAGGGGTGGGGGTAGGGGGTGTCTAGGGAGAATGGGGTTTGTTTACCCGGGAACCAGCCTGTACTCCTGGAGAGGGGGGCTGGAAGGGGGGGAATGCAGGAGAGACGGAGAGAGCGAGGTAACTCGCGGCTCAAAACAGTCAAATTCAAATTAAAAGGTCAAGACACCGTTCAGGTACTTCCTCCCCTTTCCTCACCTCCCTTTTTCTCTCCTTGGACTCTCGCCTCTGCTTCTTTCCTTGGCGTGGGACTAGGGTAAGGTCCTTTGGCGTGAGAGGGCTCCAGTGGGCAGAGAAATGGAGAAAAAGTTAAGGAATCCCAAACAGAACTAAAGTTTCTGCTTTCCTGTATCCTCGTTTTGGCCCGGCATGGCCTTTGGGACTGAGAGCTGGGGGACCGCCAGTCACGGAAGTTGATCAAGTTGCAAGTTCCCCTCGGAGTAGACAGGGAATCTCCAGAGTAGGAGAGGTCAGGGAGGGGGTCTCCTCACTTCAGGGCTGCTTGGGGAAAGGAGGTTCCCGGGGAGCCAGGGTGGGGAGGAGGAAGCTGGTGGCCTGAGACACGGTCGGACCCAGGAGCGCCGCCTGGGCCTGGCTGGGTGGGTGGCTCCTGAGTCACCATCTCTGGGGCAGGAAGGCTTTGGCCTTTGGGTGGGTTTGGTTGCTTTGCTCCAGGCCCCAGTGGCTCTCGCTTTCCAATTGACCTTGCTCCCACTAAGACAGGGACTATTCCCAGAGAGAAAAAAGGGACCCGCGGGGCCTCAGCCGGTTTGGGAGAGCTGCATCTCACACGGAAAACCAAGACACCAGGCTCGACAAAATCCTACCCAGAGAAGTGTCCTGTGCAGAGTGAATGAGCGGGGGGCATTTCTGAAAGGAGAAAAGGTTCGAGTCTATTATTGCGGTTATTTTTCAATAAAGGGAAGCCAGAAGTAAGGGGCAAGTATGTCTGAAATAGTTCTTTTCGTTTCTCCACCGCCTTTCTCCCAAAGCGAACTAAACTCTCCACGCCTTCCTTAGGAAACGGAATCTGGAAGATAACTTGTTTTTCTGGTCGCCCCACATTTTCCCCTGGACAAGCCTCAGGTTTCTACTTTCCGAAGGGCTGGAGCCTGGCGGGGAAAGAAAGGACTGGAGCTCTGCGCGCCCTGGCGTGGAGCAGTGAGGAGGCCCGAGCCGGGGCAGCAAGAAGGGGACTTCGGAAATAAATCCACGGGGATTCTCTCATCCAGTGGTCCAGAGAGAAGGCGCGGGGGCCCCTGAACCCAGGAAAAACTGGAGGAACATCTGTAACGTATGACTTGCTTGCAGGGCCAGCCAGCGGAGATTTGAAATGGTTTTGTGTTTTCCTTTGCAGAGGTCGCCGTGGGCTCGGCACAGGGGCTGGCCCAGGCAAGGTTAGGCTGTTTAGGCTCCAAAGGAGACTTGGGACAGCCCGGGAGCACTCAACCCAGAGAGCCTTTTGTCCCACCACCCACCCCGAGGGAAACGGAGGAGACTTTATGGCCACTCTGTTTGCATTATCTGCATAAGTCTTTCCCCACCAGTTTGATCGAAACTGCTCGCTTTTACGAGGACCCAACGAAAATTCCCCGTCATATTTATCAGCCGGGGATAAAAATTTAGTATGGGAACTGATATTTCCTCATTTATGGGGCGATGAAATTAAAGACCAGAGCAATTGAAAATTATATGGCTTTGGGGGGTTCCCTCCCCCCTCTCTCACAGTGCCTTTATTTTCCTGCCTGGTGTGCCTGTCCCTGGAGTCTGTCGTCCCAGACCCCTGGCCTTGCTCCCTGTTTGGGGTTCTGGCTGGGCCCTCTCCCTCTGCTCAGGTGCCACTTGGCCACCTTGGCCTTTCCTGGTCTTTTTCTCGGTGTTGGGAGCTGGGGGCCTGCACAGAACTACGGAAGCCTCTGCCCGGCTAGGCTGCGATTGGGCTGGGGCAGCGGGAAGTGGAAGTTTGCAATGAGCCTCACAGAGAAAGGGTCTGAGCTTGGCCTGGGAGGGGGTGAGGGAGGCTGAGGAGGAGGGCGAAGGAGACAAACTCCAGATTACCTCTCAAATCCAGCGAGTCCCTAGGCTTAACCTGGGGAAGCAGCGGGAAGGGAGTGGAGTCACTGGGCTTTAGGACCAGTCTTCCCCTACCAGCCCGACCCCCAATCCAAACTCACCCATGGGAGGGGATGGAGTCGCTCCGGAATCCTTGCCATTATTAATGGAAGTCATCCCCGTGGGACGAGGAACCTCCCGCCTGGACTCCCACTTCCTCACAAGAACAAATAGTGTTTAAAGTTGAAATAATTAGAAGTATGATAAACACGGCCCATTAATGAAAAAAGAAATCAAATTCATCAGCCTAAGTAGGACCCCCGGTGGGACAAATGTTTGCCTTTAATTACGCAGGATAAACGCAAACTCGGGGCTGTTAAACAGGAGCCCGTGCAGACGCAGACTTGAATTCAACTTGTAGGGTTTTTCAGACTTTGGAATTCTGCCCCAGCGGGGGTGATGGGAAGGAAGACTTGAGGGGTGAGGGTGAGGAGGGGGCAAGAGGAGCGCTTACGCGGGTCGGTCGGCTGTAGGTCCCAGCCCTGCCCCCCTTGAGCTCGGTCTTCCCGAGGCCACGAGCAAAGGCCGTTTCAGTCCTATTGTCCGGGCCTGGCGTTCAAAGGCACCGGAGTTGCCAGGGCCATCCTGCCGCCGCCAGGCGCCCACCGGCCCTGCTCCCCGGGGCCAAGGCCTTCAGACCTGCACCCCGGGGAACTGGATCGGGGTCCAGGAGAAGCCTGTGTTGCTGGAATTGCTGTGTTGAGACATTTCCCCAGCTCCCCAGGAGTACCAAGAGCACTGCGACTCTTGGGCTTACTCTTTTTGCCTCCACTTGAGGATGTAAAAATCCAGGGGCTGCAGGCCAGAGAGGGGTTCAGGCTGCACCCACATCTTGACAAATCCCGCCTACCCCAAAGAGTCCTAGCCCCTTGTGCCCTTCTTCCCAGTACCCGGACCTTGGGAAGAAAGCAAGGAGGCAGGGCTGGGCCTCATGCCGCTGGAGGGACTGTGGGCCAGGGAGAGGAGGAAGGTGCTCCTGGCACATTCCAGGGCGTTTGGTGGGTTCCAGGGGCAGGCCGAGGGCTGGGGCAGTAGGGGTCTCCATGTAAAAATAGAAGAAAAACGGAGTGCTTAACAAACAGAAAGGAACCTCGGCTGGCTGTTTTCTTGGCTCACACCCTCAAAGCACCCCCAGAAACACCCTGATTTCGCCAAGGAAAATTAGTGAAGTTTCTCCAAGAGGTTAGGGAAGTCAACTAGGAAATTCCAAAGGTGAAGAGAAAAAGGGAAAGGGTCTCTCCCTTTGCGGTAAAATAAAAAATAAAAAAGTGTGTGTCTTGAAATCTCATCAAGCAAAATAGAAAACAAAATCACACTCGTGGTGAAAATTGCAGGTTTTTTCCTCTTGCTTTGGAGTCCCAGGTAAATAATTTTCCTTCCAAAACTTGAAGGAAAGATTTGCTTTTCTTTTTCGCTAACACCAGACTCTGTCTCAGCTTAATTGGGAGAAAGGAAATCCCAGACAAAATACAAATGCTCGGAAGCCCAGGAAACTGCTTTTCAAACAGGTATAGGGAGGGAGACGCCAGGCTGAGGACGCCTGGAGGGGCCTCTGGTCTCCCCGATCTCGCAGCCACTCCACCATTAGAATCGCTCTCACATCTGGACCTTGTACACACATTTGCACCCCGATGCTATTGAGTTTACCAATTACACGTGTGTCTAAATGTGCTTAATTTTGTATACAGAGCCACGAATATTCACTTTTACCCAAAAATGCGCTTCCTGCAATCCCGGGTCCAGAAGTCTAACAGCCTGACCAGCATAACTGCTTTCTCGCCTTTCGCCTTTCGGAAGGAAGCCGACCAATGCTTTAACTTTGTCTCCTGAATCAAATCGAAACCAGATAGCAAACGCGTCCAAGAGAAGCTTAGGGAGGAGGAGACGGGTGGGAGGATGTGTGTGGGGGGAAGGCCTTGCTCCCCACTTTAATGGTTTGCTTCCAAGTTGCCCCAGTAGGTCCTGTTTCTAGCCAGAGCCAGGGCTGTGGTTGGGTCGGCTCACTCCGGTGAATCCCCGCTCCTTCCTTACCGGCTAAATTCCTGTCCCAAGATCTGTTTTTCATCATTTACCTTTCTTTCTTTCTTTCTTTCTTTCTTTCTTTCTTTCTTTCTTTCTTTCTTTCTTTCTTTCTTTCTCTTTCTTTCTTTCTTCTTTTTATTTTTTGCTCCCCCTTCTTTCTCTGCATTTTTCTTCCCTTCTCTTTTTTTCTGCAGTTCATTTTTTCCTTCTCATTTTCTGATCCTTTCCTCTTTCTTCCTTAATTCATTGTCTTTCTCATTTTTCCTTCTTTCTTTCCTTATTATACAGTTTATTCTTTGCCCTTTTCTTTCCTTCTCAGTGCTTCCCTTCCTCTTGACCTTCTTCCCTAGCCGTTCTTGTTTGTCTGTTGCGATGGGCTCTGTGAGGGGAGAGGATCAGGCTCGGTCGGTCGCATCCCTCCCCAGCCGGCTGCTCAGGCTTGGAATTGACCTTCTCCTGCCTTCAGTCTTAACTCGGCTTCTCACAAGGGGAAGTGTAGGGCTGCAGCAGCCAGAGGCCAGGCCTTAACAGTCGCCATTAGAGGAGAAACTGACTCCGATGGCTCCCTGCAGCGCTGGTTCCAGGGCTCAGGTATCTTCATTTCAATCTCCCCAAAGGAGCATTGTCCACCAGGCCTATCTTTTGAGAATTAGCTTCATCTTTGTGTTGACTTCCAGAGTTGAACAGTAAAGTAACCTCAATTTGAGCCCAATTGATTTCCCTAAGGCTGCAGTCAGGGGAAATGGAGAAGTGGGGTTCTGTCAATCTCAGGTGATTCAAGAAGCAGATCCAAGGGCTCACTGGTGGGCTTAGTAGCCCAAGGCCATGTCCACTTGGGCACCTTTGTTCTCTGAGCTCCCAGACTGCAGCCCTGCTGGCCATCCTTCTTCTGTCCGGCAACCACTGCAACCTCTGGGCAAGAGGAATTTCTTTGGCGTTTTGAATTCTGTCTTTCTTCAAACCCATTGTGGACTTAGCGGGAGGCAGGGCTGTGTGTACAGAGACCCTCCCAAATCCCAAATCTGTGGTCTGAATCAAGGTTATGGGTTTCCACTTTATGCAGTGGATTGAGGGTGTGTGTGTGTGTGTGTGTGTGTGTGTGTGTGTGTGTGTGTGTGTGAAAGAGAGAGAGAGAGAGAGAGAGAGAGAGAGAGAGAGAGAGAGAATGTTGCCTGAAGTCAAACAAGAGGGCATGATGGGGGAGGTCTTGTCCTGCTGACATTGGCAGTCCCCAAAGCTGGGTCCAATGTGGGCCTCAGAAAATATTGACCTCAATCTGTAAGCCTTGTTTTGCCTTAGGCAGAGCAAGGCAGCTCCAGATCCCCCCACCAGGACCCCAGAGCCTCTGTTTTCCCAACCTCCCCCAAATCTTGAAATTTCATTCATAGCAAAACCAAAACTTTAAGTTTTAAAAAAAGGGGAGGAGGAATCTTGTAAAACTTTTATGCCAAACAAAGTTATAAAAACTTCCGGGCGATGCCTTTTCCAAAGGTTTATATGAATAATAAAGAGTGTAGTCGCGTGCACAGGGTGCTGTGGGGCCCGGAGAAGGGAGGGTTCAGCAAACAGCATGATCCAGCCCTGGGGCACCAGAAAACACCAGGGACTGCCCCCTTGAGGGAATATTGGCCCAGAAACGAATTGCCCTACAGATTCCTGAGAGCGGTTGGGAGAGGGAAGGGGTGGTGCCCTTGACTCCCTTGAAGTTCAAAGTTCCTCTTTGCTCGGGAGAGAAAAGTCCTCTCTGCCTTTAGCCCACTCAAGAAATTAGCCCCAGGCAGTCTCCCCCCACCCCTCTGGGTGAGAACTGGCTCCAGGTGTCCCCACGTCTGTTCACCTTTCAGATATCTGGTCTGCAGCTCGCAGAGCAGAGCTCCCAGCCTCCTGTCTGGGACACCACACAGCACCCACGGGCTTTCTCTCAGAGGCTCCCGGTGGGCTCCTGTGAGCCATCTTCCAAGGGGCCCTGGCATCATCATTTCCCAGCAACCTAGAGTCTGAGTGACAAAGAAACCCCAAACCCAAGGCTGGACCCAACCCCACTTCTCTTTTCAAGTCCCCCCAGGTTCCTCCTGCACCCCCAAAACCCATAGTAGGAGGGGGAGGGGCTCAGAGTGCGCTCTCTCAGCCCACACCACTTAATACCCTTGTAAACTCCCACGTGCGCTATAAACTTGGATTTTTACAACCAACATTCCTCCTTAGCTCCAGGAAACTTTGAACTCGGCCTCGGGTTTATTTACTGGGGGTGGGGAGTGGTGGCGGGGAAAGGGGGTTGGGGAGCTGGGAGCTGAGAAAGGCTAGAGAAGGGGGAAATGCGGGGCAAGGGGTAATGGAGTGGGGGTCTGGGGAGTGTTGGGGGTGCCAAGACCCGTCCACTACCGGCTTGTTTACTATTTAGGGCGGAAGCGTTTTCTAACACAGGCCAGACTGGGTCGTTAAGGGCGAAATGAAACTGGGTTTAGAGGCGCGGGGGTGGGGTGGGGGGAACGCTTTATGGCGGCGTCTAGACGGGGATCTTTTGTTCCAGGGCAGCGCTGTGGCTGGAGGGGATTACCCGGAGAAGTTGAGCCCAGAGTGGCCCTGACAAAAGGGTGTTGGACATCCCCCGGGTCCGAAGGTGGGTTTGTTTGGGAGATAGAGAACCCCCCCCCTTTTTTTCTTATTTTTAGAGGGTCGCCAAGGGCTGGCAGGTTCCTGGGCCTGGGTCACAGCAGCTTTGTTTTTCTTTCACTATGACTCCCCCCAGCCAACCTTCAGAAATCCTCCTGGAGTCCGGGGCCTTTTCTGGGCTGCACATTGCAGGGAACGTGGTAGTTGAGGACTTAAAATATTTTTCTCCAAAATAGGAGTCTTTGGAGATTAATATCTTGCTTTATAAGAGATTTGTTCTACAGAGTTATCTTCGTGTTGCTTTATTGGAAACGTGGCCAGCAGGCCAATCCTCCTGGATATGACTAGTAGATAAACACCTAGAGAAGTCTCACACTCACGCGCACACACACTCATACACAGAGGGTCCTCAGCTGCATGCCTGCTGGTCACCAAACACTGCCAGTAGTTACACACCACAGAGGACACAGCCCTAGGTGTGCATGCGGTCAGGTTTACTTCATGCTACAGGGAAAGCATGCAAATGCTATTCTTTCTCATGTGTACCCATAGGCACATTGACTTAAACATGTTTGTGTGTGGGCACATGGGGGAACTGTGGGGCGGCATTGCACATACAGCTTAGTTTGCAAATTTTGTCTCAAAACCACATTTTTAGTTAGAAAGTCAGATACTTAAGCTGCAGGGATTCCAGTTATCAGAAAAGGACGATGGAGATTAGAAGCAATAGTCCATTGTCCTGGCACTTTTATCTTTCCTTCAACAGAATTGCATTGACAAAAACATTTTCTTTGAATTGCATAAGAACAGTTCCAAAGAGGGGGAAAGATACGAGAATTGGCCTCAAATATCTGACCCCAAATAAGGAATGAATTTGTATTTGAAATGGCCAAAGTGCCCTCACTGAAAGTGCAGTGCGGAAAGGACTATGGTTATCTTTATGTAGAAAAACATGCATAGGCGTGGCCCACTGTTCTCTCAGGTCATCTTCCCCAGTGTCGCACCCCAAGCCAACCTGTTAGAAAACAAGTCTCTGGGGCTTTCTCCTGGGGACACCAAGTGTATACACATTAGGGTGGCCCCAGCCTAAGGTATTGTTGTGTCTGGAGGAGCCTGGCCATTTGTGCTTCAGGGGAAGGGCCCAGTCCCACCTTCCCACCCTCAGGGGCAGCTAAGGTGAGGAAAGGAAGGGGGCTGGTTTCTCCTCTTCTCCCCTCCCTCCTTCAAAATTGTATATAAAAAATCCAATACAGTCTTGAGAGAGAGAGAGAGAGAGAGAGAGAGAGAGAGCCTTCAAAATTGTATATAAAAAATCCAATACAGTCTTCTGAGAGAGAGAGAGAGAGAGAGAGAGAGCCCTATCCTCAACCCTGCACATTTAACTGCAACAGACGGAGACATCTGGCAGGAGGGCAGTGGAGCCAAGAAAATTCCTATAAATTTAAATTTGATGATGGTTACAATTAACTCCACAACAAACGTGTACTTAAACGGAAAGCATTGCCGGGCATTTGGACGCAGCTTGGGCTGCACGTGAGAAAAGAGAGCTTTAAGAGGAGCCACGGAATATTCTCAGCTTGAGATAGGGAGGAAGCTACCGCCACACTCAGGCCCCTGCCCTGGGAGAGGGGGTGGGGTGCAGGCCCACCAGCCCTGGCCTACCTCACCTTCACAGCCTGTCCACACCACCAGGGCTCTGCCCGCCTGCCTCTGCCTCCACCTTGGGAGCATTGAGGGTTTTAAGAGGAGAGAGGCTAATAAAAGGGTCAAATAAAATCATAATATTGAACAGAATGAAATATCTTTATTTGCCACCATAAGAATTTCACAACAATCCCTCTGGGACAGAAGCAGGGTGGGGATTGCACATGTACACACACTCACGCACATGGAGAGAGGTGGGTGATTTGAATCTCATTCCAGGCGAGTCCTCCCCCTCACCCCTCAGGGTAGAAAGAAACGCTTGTGAAATTTATTTACAAAAATCCAGGCCCCAGCATGGGGGAGGTGCCCAGTCCCATCTCCCTACTGCTTCACCCACACCAATCATTTTTTCCTTAAAAAAAAGGGGGTGGGGGAAGCAACAACTGCATAGACTATAGCTATAAACCCATGGAGTGGGGCACGACGTGGAAAAAAGGTTGGGAAACCTCAATGCACCCGTTAAGAAATGTCAAAGGAGGGCTCTACACATTCACAGGGAGAACAGCTAGGCTCGGGCGGGGCCTGGGCGCAGACGGAGGTAGGACACGGACTTTGCACACCTAACACCAGGTCGAAGGTACGGAAATTCACAGCAAGGCAGGATCACATTCGGCTGCCCCCGAGCAGGGGGGCAGGGGGGGC